TATTAATCTATTTATACTTGATTCCTTATAACATTTCTACTAAAGCCATATAACTTCATTCCAACATTTTTCTAACATTCATTATTTTTACAATATTTCTATAAATAGTCTTAAACTTTTTCCACTCTTCTTCCACTGACTCTTCTCCCTGGTCTCGGATTTCTGCCAGTCGTTTCCGCCAATTCCATACAGTCCATCAACTTCATCTGCCATTCTTCCCGAATAGATAAATCTTGTGTCTTCCAGTACTTCACAATGAGTATTCTTGCTGCTATTGTTGCATACGTGAAAAAGTTCTATCCTTCTTTAACACCAATTGGCCGACCATGCCCAGGAGAAAGGCCTCTGGTTTCTTCAAAAGGGTATATTTAAATACCTTTTTCATTTCGTTATGAATCATCTCCCAAAGTGTCTTAATCCTTGGGCATGTCCACCAAAGGTGAACTCTAATCCTCAAATTTGTCTGTTTTTCTTTAAGTTCAGTCATAGCAAGAGTCAAGTTATGTTCATCAAATTGCCTCTGTAGGGCTGGGGCTCTCTTTCTCTCCAGTTGTGTTACTTTACATTCAGCAACAACAGCATTTTCCCTGGCTTCCTCCGCAGTTTGCCGTATCCAAGTAGGTTCCTGTACCAATTTCTGGGTGGTTTCTGTATTGGTATTATTTATACTTTCTGTATTTAAGTTAATTTTAGTAATTGAAACATCCACTTTCGCATTTATCGTGTCCATTTTCCTGTTAAGCTGATCCAGTGAGTCATTTATCTTATATAATGCAGCCACTAAAGCCTCTTCTGTCGACATTCCTCTTGGTTTTAAATATACTGGTACAAAGGAAACAACAGGAGGAGCAGGGGGGCCTGATGATAGACCTCTCCTGGATTGTTGCCAAATCCTCCCAGACCTTAATGTTTTGTCAGAAGTTGACTGGTCTGTTTTTCCTCTTCCATTTACCATAACACTTAAAAGATTCAAGGTCAGTCCCAGAGTCTCACGGTTTTTAACTTGCAGCTGGAAATTCCCCTAGCCCAGCTCTTGTAAAGCAACCGGTTTCAAAGACTTCCACTAGGGGGAAACAGTTTCTATTTGTAATAGTCAATAGTATCCTCTTTTAAACCATCCAAAATTAGTTTCAAATTAGTTTCAATTTTCAGTTACTTTTACTCCTTTTTAAAGCAGCCGGAGACAGTAGAAACAATGTATTTCTCTTGTTTAACTAACTGTCAATGAACGTTCTAAGCGCTGTCAATGAACATTCCAAAAGACGTCAGTCCTGCTAGCAGCCCGTTTCCAGGGTCAGAGCGGCGGTGTTTTAAATCTCTTCGCTCTCTCCCGCAGGCATATTCAATCCGCAACTTCCCCCTCTCTTCTCCTGCCTCCAAGAGGGGGTTTAATGTTCTTTACCGATGGAAATTTAATCTTTTACAAAAGGCTTTCCAGGACTCTAGCTTGCAACTTCATTGCCTCAGTCTATTTACAAAAGGGGGAGGCGGACTTCCTGTTTTGAACCTCCCCGTTACGGTACCAAATTAAACATTTAGAAATCCAATTCTTCCGCTTCAGCTCTACTCACGGGTAATTACTTTAAAGTCAAATTGTCCACAGGAAAAGGTCAGCGCTCTCCGGCAACAGCTATGCGGCTTCGCTCCGTGGAAGAAGCAGATGATTCGATGCACCGCACCGCTCACCCCACGTCGCTCCGGAGCCCCAAAAACCGGGGTTCCCCGCGAGTGGGGGGGCGCAAAAGGTGCCCGCCGAATCCCACGCTCACAGGCTTCTCCCGCCTGTGATTTTAACGGGTCTCCGCCTTCGCCGTGGTGGCCAGACCCAGATTCCCACGGAGCAGATTCCTCCCGGTCAGAGGAATTCCGCCATTACCGGAGGCACCTCCCCGGAAGTCTGGGTGTAACGTGTACTTTCACCCTCACCTTCCAAAGCAAAGCTGGGCCAAAGTGACACATAACTGGTGGCTTTCTCTGGCATTTCCCCCACATTTCCTTGTTCTTTCCCACAGTGAAATCACAACATGACGTTGGTCTGTTGCCATGGAAGCAGATTCTTGTCAGAGAGCCACTGCAATAAGATTGGAAAGTATTCTGTTGGGAGTAGGGTAAGGATGGGAGAGTAACAATTAGGTGAGGCTGCTGGTGGTGAGGGCAAGGAAAGGGGGAGGGCAAAACCTGAAGATTTGCTATGGGGGTACAAAAGTAGATTGACAGGTTTCATTCAAAGGAAGCAGAAACTTTCCCAGCACTCTGGTTTTTTGTTTATAACACTTGTGGATGGGAGGATTGTCAAATCCACAAAGCACTTAAGGCTTCCTTCCTTTCATTTGTATGAAGAGCAGAGCTACGCTGGAATCCTAGCTTCTCAGTGGCTGCCTGCAGATTGATGCCAGAAGCAACTTCCCAAGTGACACAGAGTCACTTCGCAAGTCTTGCTCATGAGGGCTATGTGGTCCTTCAGCCTGGTTTAGGCAAGCTGCCCCTTCTTCCCACACTGTGGTTTAGTAAATGATTTGCTGCTTTGGTTTGTAAACAGCCAAAGAAATGCATTGAAAAGCACTGCTTTTTCGGGGACATTTTATTCCCTCTCACCCCTGTTTCACAGAACCCATTCACGCATGTGCTGTAAAGAGTTTGCAGACCCTAGTTTTACACCATTCTCATAACCCCGTTCTTGCACACACAGAAAACCTGATCGGGTTCACACATTACCACTCAGGACATGTCAAGGAGTTGAAAAGCAGGAGGCTTTTGCACTTCATATATTTATGTCATGTCTTATTTGGCCACAGACGCCTGTCTCTCGTTCATACTACTGTTGGGGATCTCATGAATCAGGCTATCTGGTTGGCCGTTAATGTAAAACAGCCTTTGCTGAAATAAGGAGCAGAATAAGGCATAAAACAGAGAGGAAGGGCATATTTTTCTAAGTGCTCTCTGTGAATTTCCCTCACTGATAGATGAATGATAAGAACAGGGGAAGAGGGGCGGGGGACAGAGTCTTGCTTTCCATAGGGGGATGAAGTTGCTGGTGGTAGCAGGGAGATAGTGTTTAGCGTGCAGTAAATTTCTCATATTTCTAAGTCATTTGAGTGCACGTTTGCCAAGACTTTAAGATGTATGGAACCATACATCAAGTCCCGTGTAAAACTGGTGCCATTATTCTCTCATTTTTCACCGGAGCTTGTAAGCAGGTCTCATATATCTTTAGCTCCCACTGCAGCGCAGGTTTCTTCTGCCTGTTCTCCTGCACCTTCCTGCCAATTAGATTCCAGCAGGGACATGATTTATGTAAACACTTCATCAAAGTAATCACCCCAGGAACCTGAGAAAATGGCAAGCCAGTGTCAAGCATGGGACACACATCAAAAGATGCAAAATCCACATTTTCCCCCCAGTACGATTTAGCACTAGGGGAACAGATCCATCCTAGCTTTGCATCAAAGCCACTTTTTACTGTAGTTCATGTCATTTTATTTTTCTCGGAAATGAAACCAAGGACATTCTTTTAGGTCACGGGAAATGTCACCAGCTTGTTTGGGGCATCAGTTCTGACAGTTCTGGGTTGTGTTGCTTTGTGTGCGTTTTCCCAGATCTTCTGTCTGATGAGATCGCTACCTTTCTGGAAATGTTTTGCCTGTCACCAAGTGGAAGGTACTAAAAAGCCCTCAAAGAAGGTTTGAAGGTGCATATTTGTGCAGTGAAATTTACACACACACACAAATGTGCACTGACTTTTTGAAACGGGGCATGCGGAATGATAAATAACTCCCTCCAGTTCTTTGAGGCCTTTTCCAAAACTGACGCCTGGTTCCACCACAAGGTTTGCAGTGACTTTCAGAGTATTTCTCTTTGTTCTGTTTTTATCTCCATGGGTTGCATGTAGTTTTAGTGTGTTTTTGCTTTAATTGTTGTTACTTCCAGTAGTGGAAATGGAAGTGAGACAGTCTAAAACTACACATGTGGATGTATGGAACAGAGCTGTAATAAGGCAACCTTTTCCGTTCCACTCTGTGTTTGTTGCACACAGCACTGGTTCCATTCTGCTGAAGTTTGCCTTCCACCAAAATTACACTATTCATTGTGCTGTCCTCTGTGGTGAATTTACATAACTTAGAGGTGCTTGATTTTGCCAGGAGCTGGCAGGCCACTTGGAGTGGCTTGGCAGGCTGCATCCAGCCAGTGGGCTATGGGTTCAGCATCCCTGTGTATTGCTAGACCAGATATGGCCGGTAGGCGGCGCTTCCTGGTTTCAATGCAGCTTTATTATATATAAGTTACAATGAGCAGTTATAATGAGCCAGATGCAACCATAAAGATGTCAATATAATCAAAGCTATATATATATCTGTCAGTCAGTATGATTAACACCTTGCATCTGTCAAAATAATTAAGACTTAGTGGGCACGTCCATCTTGGCCCAGCAAGGAACTGTAATGGACAATGTTTGATTTAGAAGCAGGAGAGAGTGCTTGCTTGGGATACTGAATATTCAGGTTAGGAGGAGAAGGAGTTCAAGGGAGCATGGGATGACTATTGAGGGGTGCAAATTTTGTGAGTTGATAGCTGGAAGAAGGGCAGTAGATAATAACTGAATAATGTTCCTGAAGTTCAGTAAATAGTGAAGTTACAGGAATGTGTTTAGGATATTAGTGCTTTTAATCCCATTCAGCCCTGACTTTGGTTTACTGTGGATTTGTATTCATTATTCTTCAGATAAATCCTCTGTCTGTTGATAACCCTGGGTACTTATCCATGAATCCATAAAGTCATCTCTACACTTCCACTTGCACCTCCACTGTGCTGTTAGCACGGGAAGGCAGTGATTGCCCCCAATATTTATACATTGTCCAGATAAACACATTTATTCCCATCCCTGCCCATCTGCTCCTCCATTCCTCTATCCCTGACTGTCTTTTTTGTTTATATTTTTAAAAAAACACCAAAACCTATTTAAAGCACTTAGTTTCCCCATATAAATATTCCGTAGCAGTCAGTTTTTTTATGACACAACGTTTAATTTTAAACAAATGATTACATGCATGCACTTATGCTGATGTGGAAACAATGTGAAGCACATCCTTTTGATTCGTAAATATAGAAGCAGTAGCCTTCTAATAAACTTCATGGAAATCAATGCACACTTCATGTTCTGCTTTCATGTTTCTATGAAAATTGTAAAACAATGCTTCTGAGCCATTGGTGTGCCAGAACCCAACTGCATCCTAGGCATGTTTACTCAGATGTCCAATGAGTCCCACTTCCTAGCTTCCCATTTAGAATTCTTCCCCATGCCTAAGTGTACCTATTATAGATTAGGTGTACTTCTTGCAAATCAGAAAAAACCATCTAGCCAAATGTTTGCAGGACAAATTTTGACGCGAGCCATTTGGATCCAGAGTACTGCATAATCTAAGAGTCATATATGAGATAGCACAAAAAATAGCTTCCTTCTGTTATCCCATCATGAGCCTTTTTTGCATCCAACCACACCCTATCTCCTTTCTCTAATTTAAGGATTGCACTTTGCGGCAGGTTTTCATAAGCATCCGAGGTAATCTGATCAGATGCTTTCACCTCTGTACCATTCCTTGCCAGGATCATATGTGAATTCTGGTGTCCCTCCAGGTTGTAGGTGCAATAATATACTCCTGGGATTTGGCAGGTGAATATGCCAGATGACTCATCAAAGACTTGCTGCTCATTGTATAGAATATTTTGAAATCCTATGGGCTGATTAGGTGCTGGATAGCTTTTGCCCACTTTTGCAGAAAATGCAGATTTTGGTGGTGCTCTTAGGCCTGGTTGACCATCAGCTGCTGGCAATCCATGAGGGCATATCAATTCTGGAGTCCCTGGCAAACCTTTTTAAAAATTGAAGAGAGAGGGGGGGGGAACAATTTAGCAGAAAAAGCAGTGAAAGATGTCTGTCTCAAATCAAAATAGCCTGCAGCTGTTTGGGTACAGACTCTTCCAACCACTCATAGGGCCCAGGCACAAAAGCAGTGTTTGAATGGCAGGTACCCAGCTTTGGCTGTTAAAAAAAGAAGTTAGCAGTGCATTGAAGTTGTCATGCAAATAGAAATAATTTCTTTCTCAGAATCTCTAGAGCTGAAATGGGATTCCTGCTGCCCCCCAAATGTTGGACCCCCAATTGCTATCAGTCCCAGCCAGCATGTTCAGTAGTCAGGAATGATGGAGCTGTAGTTCATCAACATCTGGTATAAACCATCTTGGCTTTGAGTCCTGGAAGACCTGCTCTCTGCCTTGCAGGCCTTTTTCCACCTGGCCTGGGAGGGCAGGACCCTGACTGACTCCAGCTACAAAAGCGGAGACTGCTGACCAGACGCTTGACGTATTGTTTAAGGAGGGCATTGTTGTGAAGTTGGTGTTGCTGTCATTGGTGTGGTTTTTTTTTTGTTGTTGTTGTTTTGTATCTTTATCTGTATTATAATGACTTATGTGGAAATATTTTTATTCCATTGTGTGCTTTTTGATGTGTTTTATTTATTGTTTATGACCACTTTTGCTATGTTTGTAATGGCTTGTAATGAGCATGGCTTTAAATGTGGGAAGATGGCAAACAGATAAAATGATGTATATAGGATTAAACGGCATTAGGTATTGCAACACTCATGCCTGATTTTTCCTCTACCAATGCACTGGAGTGAGGGGTGATTTTACAGAGGAAAAGTAGTGGGAGAATAGAGAAGGGAGAAAAAGTTGTTTGGATATTCACGTTTATCCATCTCCTGCTGTTGTGGCACTAAGATGTTGCCAAAGGTTTTGATTTCCTGGTTTGGAATTCAAATTTGTTCAGCTTGCAGTGCTTAGTTGTATTATGAATCGAGCAACATTTCCCCACAAAGGTCTTGGCCAGCTGGGAAGGTAAAACAGGGTTCTGCACCTGCATAGCCTTAGCAACACAGCAGGTACCCCAAACCAGCTGCTCTGTAGGCTCATGCACAGAATACCTTCAGTGTCAACCACACTTACTCTCCCTGAAATTCCCAGTGCAAAATGTTAATGCCATAAGCTGTTTTGAGCATTATTGATGAAGTGGGACAGCAATAACTACCAATTAATACACTAATTATTGTAATTATCTCCTGCCAACCTAGCAGTTCGAAAGCACATCAAGTGCAAGTAGATAAATAGGTACCGCTCTGGCAGGAAGGTAAACGGCGTTTCCGTGCGCTGCTCTGGTTCACCAGAAGCGGCTTAGTCATGCTGGCCACATGACCCGGAAGCTGTACACAGGCTCCCTTGGCCAATAAAGCAAGATGAGCGCCGCAACCCCAGAGTCGGTCACGACTGGACCTAATGCTCAGGGGTCCCTTTACCTTTACCTTTAATACACTAATTTTTGGACTTTGATGGCCTTATAGAGGATGTGATGAGGATTTGTACTGGAAAAAAAATAATTTTCAAGCTACATATTTAGCATTATCTTAATATTATAGAATTGTTAATTGTTAGTAAATTGTTAATGTTTAGGATATTAACCCTGTGCAAAACAAAATATGGCCCACCAGTCTCTCAGTAAACCACTTGATTTTTAGCTACTTTCCTTGAATAGCAAAAAAAGGGATGTTTCGGGCATTTGGTAGACCTGATGATTGCTGGTAGCTTGCCTTCTGTGTGGTCAGTTATATGAAATGCATTTCAGCAGGCTGAAAAATAGTTCAGATTAGTGGCTGAACCAGAACTGAACTGGAGTTTAGACATTCAGGTGTTCAGAAACCTGAACAGAACTCGGCTCCCTTACTATACTTTTTTAAAAAAGCAGCAACAACACAATATTGCAGTTACTAAAATTTGTAGCTGTTTCTTACCATATTTTGACCTTCTTTGGTTTTATATAATCATAAAAATTATACCATTTGATATAGTGAAATCTCTCCAAGTGGTGTACTAAAAAACAATTTAAAAAATACAACAACGTTCCGCAAAATTTCCTAAAAAGAATATGAAAACAAATAGCAACTGTATATTGCAAGTAAAAATTAAAACGGGATGGGAAAGGGGTGGGGTTCCAGGAAAAACGACTTTGGCAGTGGCATGCACCATTAAACTCAATGGGCTCCCCCCCCCCCCACTGCTAAAAGCTCTGCTTCCCCACTTGTCTCCCAGAACCAGAAGAGGCATGAAAAGGGAAGAGGAGAGACTGACAACATGCAAGCACAGTCTCTGATTGCTTTGGGGGGGGGGGAATCCTGGAGAGGAAGGGACTTAGGTAGCTGTGGATAGGCAGAGACTTTCAGTCTCAGCAACAGCTTCATGGGGAAGGACCTACTGGGGATGGGTTGTGGTGCTCATTAGGTCTAACATTCCACCAAGTCTGTGCAGATTGTGCTTTTGCTAATACTTAACTCTAACTTGAACAGTGTGATTTACTGCTGGCTCACTCCTGACACTGACTCTCCTCCCAGTCCCTCTCCCTAAAACAGGTGACCAACAGGGTGACCAAAGCTGTTTCTATCTGCAATCCAGGATTAAACCCAGCACCTGCTTTGTTTATTTGGTAAACATAACCAAGAACTTGATTTCTGTTGCTTGGTTTCTAAAGTGTTCTGTCTTCCATGCAAAGTGTAGTATCATGGGCTGTCCCTTGAGCCCGCTAGATGACATCGCAAAGGATCATTGCCTTAGGAGAGCGAGAAAAATTCTCAGGGACGATTCACACCCCGGACAGCACCTCTTTAATCTTCCACCCTCGAGCAGGAGATATAGAAGTATAATCAGTCGTACCAACAGGTTAAAAAACAGTTTCTGTCCGTGGGCTGTTAGGCTGCTGAATGGAAAATAATGTAGTGCAACTGACTTTCGGGGTTGGTGTGTTGTGCGACAAGCACACAGAGTGCAATGAGATTGAGTGTTTGTGGGGAGGAAAGCTCGGTTAATTTCATTGTACACAGGTTGTACATTGACAATAAAGGTATTAGTAGTAGTACTAGTAGTAAAAAATTTGCTGAGAATTAAGCTAGAGATCATACCTGGTGCCCCCTGTGGTCCGGGAGCACCTATAGGACCAGGAGGACCAGGAGGACCAATGAAACCAGGAACACCAGGAAAACCAGGAGGACCAGGAAGACCAGGAAGACCAGGAGGACCAGGTGGACCACGAGGACCAGGAAAACCAGGTCGACCAGGTGGACCGGGAATACCAGAAGAATCTGCTTGAACTTCTCCAGCTCTGGCCAAAACTATGGTCAAAATCCAGACACCTGAAGCAAAAGATAAAAGAAATAAACTACCTTAGCATTTATGTAGTGTAGATAGCTAAAGAGATAGCCACATAGGCAGTCACATTTGGACTACATGAGTTTAATTTCTACTTGATTACATCACTCATGAAAGTGGGCAGAAAGATTGATAAAATCTTTAGAGTCAATTCTACTATAGCAAAGGCGAATAAATGGCTAGGTGACCTTTTAGTATGTCTGAACTCTGTAGCTCTCAGAGATAGAATATTACAAACTAATTTTAAAAGAAGGCTTCGCATTGAGGAGAAAAATATAATTTTCTTGAGAGAGGTCCCAGGGAGGCTGCTAAAAAAAAAAAAAAGACAGAATTATAAATTTCTCCCTATTGGTGGAGGGCTGTAAAGGAGGTCTCCAAGGAGCATGCAGCAGCAGGCAATACATTCCTCAGAGGACAGATTGGCTGCCCCTGTAGATCCTGACACTTGAAGCAGTCACCTCATCCAGCAGCAAATACCCATCTCAATAGTCAAGCCTTAACAATAATGCTCAGGAGGCTCAGAAAACAAAAGTGAGCTTAGCTGCCTCTTCTGCAAAGGATCGTGCATGAGGAGAATGGGACAACCTGTAGCGCATTTCAGAACCTGGAAGCATTTTAAGTGGGGCATCCTTAGATGATCTTAAAATTGGTTGGGCCAAGGTTGCGAGCCTCTTGCCCTCCAGATATTACTGGACTACAGCTTTCATGAGGTGACTGGCCAGGCTGGCAGAGAGCTGACAGAGACGGAGTTCAACATCTGGGGTGTCTGGATGTAAGGGCAAACGTGCCACAAGACCATTCTTAGTGTGCCCTGGCCCCAAGCTTTGTGTATTCCCAGTATTGCTCTTACAAGCCCTGGATGAAATGCCAGCTAATCAGCACCACTTTGCATGCTTGTCCTGATTTTGGGAAGAGAATTAAACATATTATCAGAAATGAAAAAACAAACCTGGACAAAGGAAGCTGCAGGGTCTTGATGTTCCCAGCATCATCTTGATGTTTTTTGGGGGGTTTTAAACTGATCTCAGTTCTTCTCTCAATTCCTCCTTAGCACTCTCTGAGGTTTAAGTGTGTTTGAACAGCTTTGTCACATTTATAGCTTTTTAATGGGTGGCTGCAGTTTTTGTATCCAGGAAGGAATTTCCCAACATTTCTACTTCTCTAATATTTACTCTTCATGTAAAAGACCTGAACTCCATTCTCCTCTGCTCCCAAAAGAGCAGGGGCTGGGGTGGGGACGATCACCTCAGCCTATTTCAACATCAGTTTCCTGCAAATGACACCAGATAGTGGAGCAGATGAGGCCCTTGAGTTATTGAAAGTTGAACTTTTACATAGTAAATAAATATGGCATGTGGAATATCTTCTGTGGAAAAATCTTCCAGATGGTCATGCCAGAGTGTCAGAATAAAGTTGAAGGTCAGGGAGGAAAGTACCGGTAAGTCTTGCCAAGTTTCTATCCAAGCAAGTTTCCTTCTCTTTACCCACTATATGCAAACATTACATTTCAACACAGAGATGGACTTGATAGCCTTTGTGATTACATTTCTCTATCTTTTTTCAAACAACAGGAAATTCAAAATAAATTATCCTTTGGATTTTTTTTAGTTACATCACAGCAGAACATAGACAGCTGTCAGGTAATGTAGAACCGTAGGAACATAGGAAGTTGTCTTCTACTGAGTATGGATAGGAATAACATGTAACACATTTTGGGATGCTGAGGGTTTTCTTCTGTATAAAAAAATTAAAACAACGTCACTTATAAAAATCATTCAAAAATCAGCAGATAACCGCCAAGCAGTGGAAAAAGTAATGTCGGAAGTGGCAGAAGGTGGTTCTTCCAGTGCTCTGGTCTCAAACTATCCTCAACATTGGCTTCAGAGGCATTGAAAGAAAAGCCAGGTGTCTTGCACTGGTTTTGAACTACCATGTCATGTCATTTCTTTCTTTCTTTCTTTTTAAATAGTAAATTTTATTAGTATTTTCCACACAACAACAACAACAAACGAAAAATAACAATACACAAAAACAAGCATATAAAAAACTAATCCAAATCTTACAAATCAATAATATAAACACTAAAATGGAAAACAAACATTGACTTCCACCAATCCCACAGCACCTCCTTTACCTCTCATTGTATTTTCCTGTTTTCCTGATCATCTCTATCCTAACATCTAGATATAAATTCCTCTTTCTTATCCTTTCACTTCACAAGGTTATTCCAGACTCAGCCAGATTTCTGTCCTCGAACCTTGGCTTTTAAGATATTCATTTAGGCACTTCCATTCCTTTTTCACTTCACTTTTTGGTTTTTGTCATTATATCTGTCAATTTGGCTAATTCTAAATATTCTGAAAGCTTACATAACCATTCTCCCCTAGTGGGTAACTGATTCTGTTTCCAATACTTAGCCACTAGGATTCTTGCTGCAGACGTCGCGTATAAGAAAAAATTAGTTTTGTCTTTTGGAATATCATCATTTAAAATTCCTAAAAGGAATGCCTCTGGCCTTTTACTATATGATATTCTTAGTATTTTCTTTATTTCTTCGTGGATCATGCTCCAAAATTTCCCAATTTTGGGGCATGTCCACCACATATGGTAGAAAGTTCCTTTTTGTTTCTTACATCTCCAGCACTTATTATTATATGTATTATTCATTTTTGCCAGCCTTTCTGGCACCAGGTACCACCTATGATGCATTTTCATATAGTTCTCTCTTCTTAGGTAACATGCTGTGAAATTTATATTTTTTTATCCATAGTCTTTCCCATTCATTATATTCAATTGAATGGCCCAGAACTTGTTCCCATTTTTTAATAGCGTCACCTTTTTCCTCCTTTTCTATTTTCCCATTTTGTAATAATTTATATATTTTTGAGAGAGTCTGTTGTTTGTTATATAAGATTTCCTTCTCCCATACCAATATTTTTTAATCAAACCCCTTAAGTTTATTATCCTTCTCAAATATTGTTTTTAATTGGAAATATTCTAACCAATTCACCCCCCTCTCTTTTAATTCTTCAAACTTCTTTAATGTCGGGCAATTCTTTATCTCTTTTACGAGTTCCCTATATGTTAGCCAACTGTCTTTCATATTATTCTATGCATGGCTGATGACTCTATAGGCAATAGCCACCAGGGAGTTTTGGCTGTTACTATTGTTCTATTTCTTTCCCCAACTTCGAATAGGGCCTTTCTCACCAAATGATTAGTAAAGCCTCTGTGTGCTTTTATTTTATCATGACCCAGGTAGCCATGCCACCCGAAAACTTTGTCCTAGCCATCCAGGTCTAGGATTTCAGTATCTGTCAGTAACATCCAATCTTTCAGCCACGTCATGCATGCAGCCTCAAAATACAGCTTGTGGTCCGGGACCGCGAACCCGCCCCTTTCTCTGGGCTCCATCAATACTTTGAACCTTACTCTTGGCTTCTTACCCTACCAGATAAAGTTAGAAAGATCCCTTTGCCAGCCTTTAAAACATTTTGTCCCAATAATTATTAGGATCATCTGGAAAAGAAAGAGCATTTTTGGGAGAATTGACATTTTTATCAAGGATATCCTACCCCATAAAGACAAGCTCAATTTATTCCATTTATTTAAATATCCTTTTATTTCCTTCCACTTCTTCACATAATTATCCTTGTACAAATTGGTATTTTTATTTGTAATGCAGATCCCCAAATAGCTTTCGTGGTGATTTTAAGGCCTGTTACCTTCCAATTCTTCCTCTTCCTGTTCCTTCACCCCCATATTTTTCGTTAATAATTTAGATTTTTCTTTATTTAACTCGAAACCCGATACTCCGCCGTACTCAGTCAATTTCTTTAAGGCTTCTTGTACACTTTCTTCTGGATTTTCTGTAATAATTCCAGTAATAATTACATCATCCGCAAATGCTTTAACTTTATATTGTCTATTACCTAGACTAATCCCCTTAATTTTTGGGTCTTTTCTTATTGCTATTAGGAGTGTTTCCAGCGTCACAATGAACAAAAGTGGGGATAGAGGACATCCTTGTCTGGTGCCCCTTTCAAAGAGCAGGGGCTGGGGTGGGGACGATCACTTCAGCCTATTTCAACATTAGTTTCCTGCAAATGACACTTCAGATAGTGGAGCAGATGAGGACGCTGAGTTATTGAAAGTTGAACTTTTACATAGTAAATAAATATGGCATGTTTATTTAATTTCTTCTGTGGAAAAATCTTCGAGATGGTCATGCCAGAGTGTCAGAATAAAGTTGAAGGTCAGACAGGAAAGTAAGCAAGTCTTGCACTAGTTTTGAACTACCATGTCACTTCTATAGAATTTAATTCTATAGAATTGAACCCATTCTCAGAAAGAAAAACTAACCTGGATGAAAGAAGCTGTGAGACTGGCATGTTCCCAGCATCATCTCATGTGCAGCCACAGAGTTAGCCTGCGGTAAATCACACAGATCAAAGTTGGAATTAACCCTTTATTGGCAAAAAACCCCACTATCTTCGCAGACTTGGCAGAGTTCCAGGCCTAATGGAGCACAGAAGCTCACTCCCTGTAGGTCTTACTCCATGAAATCAGTTGCGGAGACTAAAGGTCCCTGTCTCCTCACAGCCATCTATGTCTGCTCCTCTTCATGGCTTTTTCTAAACAATTGGAGACTGCACCTGTGTACCTCTCTTTGCTCCTCCTGTTTCATGCTTCTTTTGGCTCTGGGTTTCAGTAGGGAGGGGAGCTTTTTGCAGTTGGAAGGGGAGATACCCAGGACTCTTCACCAGCCTGACTCATCTTGGCCTCCCTCCTGTTTCAGCTTCTGCCTGTCATTCTGGACTTTTCTCTGCCACAGACTCTCCCAGCTCACTAAGTCCTGTTACCTCATCAACTTCTGACACCTCCTCTTCCTCGTCTTTTCCTTCTCCCTGTGACCACTCATTGTCATCCCACCACCAATCCCTGGGCTTTGAGCCTTCTTCCCTTGGGGGTTCCCCAGCTGGTTCCTCCCACCATTCCTCTACTTCCAACCAGTTCATGACATGTGCTTGGAAGTGATCTATCTCTGGAATCTGTGTTCTTCCCACAACTCCTCTGAATAGGGTCAAGTGTGGTCAACTGGCTTTGTCACTTAAATGCTTCCATATATCCCTTTGCCTACTTTTAAAAAATCAGTAATCATATTATCCACAAATCAAGTACCCAACATTCCCAGCGTTTCTCATCTCTAATATTTATTTCATGCTCCCCAAAAGTACATGGATTCCAACCCCCATTGCCAAAAGACAAATCAACATTGTCCCAGAAACTAAACTTGACTTATCCTAGGTCTGAACTTTGTACATCTCAATTTACTGCAATTAGAACATTTTCATAAGGGGCAAATGCAACATGTTTGTTTGATTGACACTGAAAAGTATGGCAGATGGTCATAGCAGGCTTGCCTGGTTAAATAAGCCCTTCCAACTCCACTTTACATATTATATGTAAACATCACATTTCAGACATGGAAGTCACCAGTCTAACTTCCCCAGCATGAACATCTACAGAAGAAGCCCTTCCCATTGTCCCACCAATAACTAGAGTCAGTAGCACAGTGACATAGAGCAGGACCTTCTCTGTTATGGCACCCCATATGTGGAATTCCCTCCCCAGAGATTCAGTTGTTCTCTGAATTGATTAATTCTAGGTATTAGCTCACAGCATACCTGTTCTCTCTGGCCTTAGGGTACTGGTTGAAAGGTTTTTGGGCTTGCTGGTGGACTGTAATTTTTTACTCTTGCTCTGTGGATGTTTCCATCCTTTATCTGGTTTATATTGTGGTTGCATAGCTTTTGCATGGATTTATGCATGTTATATTCTGTCATGTACTGCCCTGGGAACTTTTGGGCTGAAAGGCAGCAGAATATCAGTCCAATAAATAGCAATGAAGAATAACTTCATGGCTGCAATCCTATATCCCCACTTTATTGGAAGCAAACTCCTTTATTTATTGTATTGCACTTGCAGACTGCCTTTCTGCCAAGGCACAGACAGTGGTTTACAATTCTGAAAGGAAAAGAAAATGCTATAAAGTTGATCCTGCAGGTGGAAGGAGGACAGACTGACTGGAGCAAGCCCTGATTTTGTTGCTTGCCTGCTTGCTTGCCTGCCTCTCTTCTTCTCACCAGTGGAGGATGGTGCTCATTAGAACTGGTAGGGAGGGAGGAAAGGAGGGAGGCCAACAGTTAGGCTGACCTGAGCACATGGCTGGTAGAGCTAGGAGTGCTGCTGTTTAGGAGGAAATGTCATGCTCCCTTAAATTTTACCTTCCACTTCAACATTCTGCCCCACACAACCTCCACTATCCTTGCCCCAGCAGTAGAATTAAACCCATTATTCAATTATTAATAATAATTCTGAAAATAGAAAACCTAACCCAGCCAAAAGAACTTATGAGATATTTTGCATTGTCTCGAGTGCTTGGATGTGATCTGCCTCTTGAAATCTCTCTCTTCCCCCAGCGTACACACTGAAGCTGCTGTATGATTGGATGACTTGTTTCCTTTAAACTTTTACATAGTCCCTCATGCTTACATCATTGGTGGTCAAAGATTTCCTATCAGGCTTGCTCAATTTTTACTAAGGGTGCTGCCAGCACCATCCAGGGCAGGGTGGGGTGGTATACTTGCCCCAGGCCTCGGAGGGCTAAGTTGGCTGGAGGGAAGCACCAGGGTCTTCCCAGCCAACCAGGGATTTAATGGGCCCACCCCAACCTCAGACAAGCTCTGCATGGGCTTGGGTGCTGCTCTAAAATACGTGTGCTCCAACCCTCCCTCTCCCCATAACCCTAATTAAATAATCATCATTATCATCATCATCATCATCATCTTACCCCAGTGAAAATTCTGGTAGTGGACCGATAGTTTAACCTTGTAAAGTAACTCCTTAAACTTTGAATAGTGAACAAATGCAATGTATTCATTTAATTAAGCCAGAAGAGTCAGACAGGAGAGCATGGGGAAATGTAACAGTATAGCTGCTTTGCGGAAACAAATGTGTTAGACTAGCCACAGTTTCCGGGCAATTTAAACACCTCTTTACATTTGATATATTCATATTTCAACAGACAAGCCATACTGGTGGCCTGACTATTTGCAGTTCTCTTCAGTTTCTTTTAAGCAGGAGATCTATCCACATATGAAATCCTTTCTGTTTTAGTTGTGCAGGATGGTGTGGTGTAGAAATCCTGAACAATTATTGATTCAATTATGTGCAATAGGTACAGAGTCAGCATTCCTCTGAATGGCAGCTGCTGAAGGCCATGCACTCCTTCTGGGTGTCCTGGGCCACAGGGTCATTAGCCTAATAATTTTTGCTGCCTGAGCCAGAGCAGCAAACAATTCCTCCCCCAAGCATACATCAAATTGGCTTCAAATAAACATTTTAGATGAGAGCAGCCAATAAAACAAACACAAGCCACATTATGATGCCTGTTCTTCCCATAGGGCTGAATATATGCCCTTCCACCACCACCAAATTCCAAAGAACTTGGGTGGAGCCAGAAATAATTTTTTGCTGTAAGGCACAGCATGTCCTCTGGACATGCAAATACTTTGTTTGCAAAGTTCAAGCCAATTCAGGTTTAAAAGCAGCTCTGTCAAATTCACTTTCTGAAACCATATGAGAGCCAAAACATAGCCCCCCTTCCGAACTCAAACTCATCCCAATTTTTGTGATGCAGTTCTCTAGGCAAACAATGTTTACAAAAAAATATATATTAAGTGAAAGTGTGCATAAAATGAATTTATTGATGAAAAAACATTAAAATGTGCTATATTAGGAGAATGGGGCGCGGGTAGTGCTGTGGGTTAAACCACTGTGTTGCTTGGGCTTGCCGATCAAAAGGTCGGCGGTTCGAATCCCAGTGGCGGGGTGAGCTCCCGTTGTTCAGTCCCAGCTCCTGCCAACCTACCAGTTCGAAAGCATGTCAAGTGTAAGTAGATAAATAGGTACTGCTCCGGCAGGAAGGTAAACGGCATTTCCGTGCACTCCTCTGGTTTCGCCAGAAGCGGCTTAGTCATGCTGGCCACATGACCCGGAAAAACTGTCTGCGGAAGCGGACAAACGCCAGCTTCCTCGGCCTGTAAAGCAAGATGAGCGCTGCAGCCCCAGAGTCGTTTGTGACTGGACTTAATTGTCAGGGGTCCCTTTTCCTTTTATATTAGGAGAAACTGCTTACAAAAATGTGCATGTTAGTAAAAGCTGCATTCAAAAATATTGTTGCATGCCACCCCAAACTCCAGGGGTTCCAGGCACAGTGAAGACTGTGGTGTCTTTGGTATATATGGTTTATTTACACACATATATATAACCTGAGCCTATAATGAAGGGGTTCATAGCAGTAGCACCTCAAGAGGGTCCTGCTTCACCCATAGCCACAGCCTTGGGTGTGAGCAGAAATCAAACATCTCTCACTCTGGCTTCCCAGCCTACTTCTTTGTTCCTAGCTCAGATCACACAACTCTTAACTCTGGCCTTTCTCTTACTAAAATGCTGAAGAATTTTCATGTGAGTTAAAAAATTAATAAATCAGAAATTGCTGTAGAAATGTGGGGAACTGAATTTAAGGTGAGAAACTGACAGATCCTTTAATCTCTATTTGTTCCCTTAAACTGCCACTAGATGTCAGCCCAGGATATGCTAAAATAGAGACAGATTTTTTTCCCAAGAATTGACTGTGGTATGTAAAACAGAGACAAGTAGAATGATACATGAGGTGTTCACAAGCCACATTCAATGACTGTACAGTCTGTGTACCTGTGCACACAAATAGCTGAACTGCATATTAATATGTGTAATGCTCAATTAGTGTATAGTTCATATGGATACAACATACCACAGCTGAGCCAAGCATATTTATTTATTTTATTCACAACTTGATTGTAATAAAAACTCAAAGCAATTTACGACAAGGAAAAGAACCATAAAATTATCAGCAAAGAAACAGTTTGAAAACAACTATTAAAAACTTTTTTAAAAAGTGGGGGGAGATCAACAATGAGCTGAAAACCAGATTAAAACACATGTCAACATTCTACATGCTGGGCTTGCAGGCGCCGAAAAGAGCGCAATGAAGGGACCTACCTGATGTCAATAAACCTCATTGTATATTTCCTCTTGTAATCAACCTTGTAGAGCAGATAATTGGTGAAAGGTCCTAGAGCTTCATTGTATGGCATCCAGTAAACATGCCCATCTGAAAAACTTTGGAGTTCTGTTGCCAGGCAGCAGCACAGACAACACTGAGCTAGATGAACCAATGCACATAGGAAGCAGACTTATACAGAGTCAGACCATAGGTCTATCTATGTTGTTATAGTCTTACAGATGGTGGCTCATCAGAATTTCAAGGTTCTAACCCAGCCCGACCTGAAGATGCCAGGAATTGAACCTGGTATCTTCTCCATGCAAAGCAATTGACTTACCACTAAGCCACAGCTCTTTCCCCACATGGTCCGACTCGATGTAAGGCAGCTTCCTATTGAGACAAATGTCTAAACTTTTGGTGCAGAAAATGAAAGAAGCCACCAAGCACAATGCACTGAAACACTGGCACTTTCATGAAAATGGCTGCTTGACCCAGGAGAGTATTGTAGATTGCATAGATTGAAGCAATATGGGATGAATAAAAACTAACTCCTCTTGGAATAAAAATCGTCCAGACCCAAAATGTGGTTTTAAAGCTTTACTAACAAAACGTTCTTCAACAGACACAAAACAATAAATGATATATCAAGACAGTTGCAAAATGTCATATGCTTGTCCAAGCATAGGCTCAGCTTCTTACAAATATGACATAACTCTAAACAGACCTGAAATCAAAGGTCTCTCTCTCCACACAGATTCCATTAGCCTTCATTCCAGCCCAAGACTGTTCCTCCTAGAGAGAATCATTAGCAGACCTTTCTTTGGTGGCTTGAGAGAACAAAAAAAAGAAACCCTCAAAATGGTGATTTGCAAATGAATGCCTCTCATATGATATAAGTTAAACACCACATCAGAGCTAGCAGAGAGACACATCAACAGTTAATTATCAACCCACCAGGTACTCAGAGAGCGCTTCCTAGCTTTAATGGAATTTCCTCAGTGTTATCTTTCGCAATACACATTGAGAGTCATTTTCCCTTTCAATGTACAATTAAACAAGTATACTTACCAAAGAGTATTCAAAATCCATTACAGGCTTAGAGGCTGTACTCGCCCCCCCCCCCCCCCCCATATATCTTTCTGCCAATAGAGGTCAGCCTATGGTAGTCTATGATAAATAAAACCATGTAACTCATGGGTAGGAAAACTAAGGCCCGGGGGCCGGATCCAGCCCAATCGCCTTCTGAATCTGACCCGCGGGTGGTCCGGGAATCAGCATGTTTTTACATGAGTAGAATGTGTTCTTTTATTTAAAATGCATCTCTGGGTTATTTGTGGGGCATAGGAATCCATTCATTTTCCTCCAACATATAGTCTGGCCCCCCAGAAGGTCTGAGGGACAATGGACTGGCCCCCTGCTGAAAAGGTTTGCTGGCCCCTGATGTAACTCTTCGGGAAGCTGCCTTCTATGAATAAGGCCACTGACAGGCAGTGCCACAATTCAGTAGAGCTTCCCCTTTCCAACCCTACCTGGAGCTTGGGTCACTATGTGTGCTGTACATGCCTGTAGTCCTTCAAAGCCCCCGTGCAAATGCATTTGTGATGTCATGAACATTGGGAGCAAGCAAGAAGTGTTTAATCACTTGTGGAAATGCCATCTTGTTATTTGGAAGGGAATAGCGGTTCTGAGTTAAACAATTGGCCACCTCCCTGGTGAGGTCAAATTGCACACCAGTGAGGATGAATCACTATACCCAAAGGCAATGATAACACGTTTCTAGACAAGCTCTCGCGTTTCGTGCTAAATAAATAGAAACAGTGATATGGCCCAAGAGGAAAGTCATGTTTTATTATCTCAAGCAGTGGTGTTTTTACAAATGAATGCAATGCTTTCTGTTGCTCCTGTAAGATTGCTGCCTAAAGCAGAAACTGCAAGGTGGATCGTCAGTGTAAAGAGACAGGATTTCCCACTTGGGCTATCTGCACAATTTCAAGCTAAATTCAGATTGCTGGATCTTGGATCCAGATCACTGAATCTGCTTTAAGATGAGATGCTTAGATAGGCCTAATCCTTGCTGCCTTCCTTGGGCCCCAAGAGGATCTTACTGAGGAACACCATCTGCACCTTATCACTGCTGTTTCACAAGCTCTGTTTGCACAGGATGTTAAAAATATCCTCTAAATGGAAGCAAACACAGCTGTATCCTCAAGACAGGGATGGGGAACCAGTGGTCCTCCATATGTTGTTAGACTATAGCTCCCATCAGCCCCAACCAGCCTAACCAGTGGTCAGAGATGGTGGGAGTAGTTCACCAACATCAAAAAGGCCAAAAGTTCCCCATCCTAAGGGAAGTAGTGTCAGACCCAGCTCCCACTCTGACTCCCTCTTCCAAGTTTGAACCTATCCTGTTTGCAAGCATACTGACACACACATATACACCTCCCAGGTTTGGGAGAACTTACTTATCCAGACATGTGGGCTTGGTCATCTGATGGATCTTAGAGGAAAAACGAGGAAGGCTGAGCTTGCTGAATTGCAAATAACATGGTCATGGCCAGAAAAAGGGATTGGAGTTAAACACATCGCCTTCCAGGGAGATAATAATGGGGACCTACCTTGTTGTAAACCTGGAAATGGGATTTTTAAGAGGCAACAGCCATCTTCAAATAGTTGCAAAGCTGCCATATAGCTGATGGAGCAACTTTGATTTCTGTTGCCCCAAACCTGAACCAGTTACAAGAATTGTGATTATAACTAGATCTGGCCAGCCTGGCTTCAGTTGACCATGCTCCAGTGACCTCCTGTCTGGACTACTGTCCAGAAGCTACAGATAATGCTGAATGTGGCTGCTAGGTTTGTTAAGTGGGGGAGCCCTGAAAGCATTGCACTGGCTGCCAGTGAGTTACCAGGCCAAATTCAAGGTACAGAGCCATAAATGGCTTAGGGCCCAAGGTGGAATTTAGACACAAATAAAAAAACATTTCGAAAATGCTTTTTTTAAAAAAAATGTTTTGAAAAACATTGCATTTGCCATAGCTCTCCATCGCCATCTGGTGTCACATTTGTATAATGCACTTTACAACACACTAAAAATGTTTTATTTGCAGCTATAAAGCTGAGTCTCAAGTTTCTAAAAGAGTGCCTTCCCCAATATCAATAATCTCAGGTGAAGCCTTGATAGGGACTTTTCAATGGTGGTTCTGTTTCTGGAATGCTGTCCATAGTGAGGTGTGTCTGTCTCCCTCATTATTGTTCCTGGCAAGCCAGAAATCAGTTGGCGAGAATGTTTTAACTGCTTTTAGTTGTGTTTTTACAGATATATAATTGCTGTGTCTGCCACCCTGGGTTCCATTGGAAGGAAGGAAGGAAGGAAGGAAGGCATATATTGTATTAGGAATAACTCCCCCCAAAAAACAAGCTACTAGGTTGTGAGGCAGACTGTCTTGGAAGGTGGTGAATGCTCCTTTGTTACAGGTTTTTAAGAAGAATCCTTCAAGGATGCTGTAGCAGTGGGGTTCCTTAACTGGCAGGGATTTACATTACAGGACAATCCAATCCCAAACAGGGCAGCATCTGGGGTGAAAGCCAAGGGGGCAAGCAAATTGCTGTGCCAGCCTGAAGCCATGTTTCATTACATTTGATGGGTAGAACAGGGAGCTCTGTGGCAGTGGAGATTCTGGCATCACTTTGCCTTCAGAGGCCAGCAGGAGTGCTGGACTGCAGCCTAAGATAACTTCTAACGTAACTGCTAACTCTATGATTCTGTGACCAAAACAATGCATGCAAAGTGCTGCCTTAAATGCTATGTATTATTACGGACTTGCACGCCTAAGTAGGATGAACAATTGGGAAGGCAACATGGCCGTACATGCCTGTCCTGCAGCGTTTGCTAGCTTTGGCATGGGGTGGAACCACAAGAGCTCATCCTGCCTCCATTCAATAAACAGCCAGTCTCAATTCCGGCGGCAGCAGCAAGCCCTTTACAGGTCCCATTCATCCATTTGCGGAAATCTCCTGCTGCGTCTCCACTGGCTGGATCGTATGAATAATAGAGGAGAAATGCTCGGCTGAAGCTGGGCGCATTGGCAGTTTAAGCCGAGCATGAATAATTCAGCGCATTTCCTTTCCAGGAACAAAAGCAGCTGCTATTGGAGCTGTTGATCCCATTCAGCTCCTCATGCTTCTCTCTTAAGCATCTCCGTTTAGCCTTGCCTCGTACAACAGTATCAGGTTCCTTGCGTGTGATCATCCCTTAGCCCTCGGTTTGGACAGTTAGGGCATGCCACTTAACTTCTGATTTTAATCATGGCTCTGCTCTTGAGGGACTGGACACAGCCAGTTCTTTAGTCAGCTAGTTGGATGACTAAAGAAAAAGATTAAGTAACATCCAGTTCACAATCCGTATGCCACTAGCTCTGCCATAAATTAAATACAATGCATTTCACCCAAAATACCCGTACTGAAACTAAGGCTAAACTGTAAGCATACTTACCAGTGCATAAATCTCATTACAGCACAACTCCATTATTTATTATTGTTATTGTATTTATTTATATCCCACCTTTTCCCCCAGACCAGGAACAGCAACACAGATAAAATATAGAAAGCTGAAAACATATAAGAGATAATAGTTTAAAAGTAATTAAACTAAAATAGAATTAAAACCATAGGATCCAACTCCTAGGGGCTGAGGGAGTTCTGGGCATCCAATAGAATATTTGTAGGGGCCGGGGGTCCCTCAAGTTAATGTGCATTGCTTACAGCCCTCGGCACCCTTAATAAACTACAGTTCCCATGATTCTTTGAGGGACACTAACTGTTTAAAGTGATTTGATACTGCTTTAAATATGTGGTGCAGATGACACCTTGCTAGATCTTTGATGTCCTTTCTCTCTCTGTCACTTGCGCTCTCTCTATCACTTTCTTGATGGCAGAAAGTGAGGAGGAATTAAAGAACCTTTTCATGAGGGTGAAAGAGGAGAGCACAAAATATGGTCTGAAGCTCAACATCAAAAAAAAGAAGATCATGGCCACTGGTCCCATCACCTCCTGGCAAATAGAAGGGGAAGAAATGGAGGCAGTGAGAGATTTTACTTTCTTGGGCTCCATGATCACTGCAGATGGTGACAGCAGTCATGAAATTAAAAGACGCCTGCTCCTTGGGAGAAAGGCGATGGCAAACCTAGACAGCATCTTAAAAAGCAGAGACATCACCTTACCAACAAAGGTCCGTATAGTTAAAGCCATGGTTTTCCCAGTAGTGGTGTATGGAAGTGAGAGCTGGACCATAAAGAAGGCTGAATGCTGAAGAATTGATGCTTTTGAATTATGGTGCTGGAGGAGACTCTTGAGAGTCCCATGGACTGCAAGAAGATCAAACGTATCCATTCTTAAGAAAATCAGCCCTGAGTGCTCACTGGAAGGACAGATTGTGAAGCTGAGGCTCCAATACTTTGGCCACCTCCTGCGAAGAGAAGACTCCCTGGAAAAGACCCTGATGCTGGGAAAGATGGAGGGCACAAGGAGAAGGGGACGACAGAGGACAAGATGGTTGGACAGTGTTCTCGAAGCTACAAACATGAGTCTGACCAAACTGCGGGAGGCAGTGGAAGACAGGAGCGCCTGGCGTGCTCTGGTCCATGGGGTCACGAAGAGTCGGACACGACTAAACGACTAAAAAACAACAACTCTCTCTATTATGGTCTTCTGTTATGAGTCAGTCACTTCAGACTTCATGAGGAGGGGAATCTCCCTGGAAATCCTTTAAATGCTATGCAAAGGTTAATTTGATCTGAAATAAAAGCATATAGAACTAAAAGCCGTGGTCCAAGTCACACAAAAATATTATATCCAGAAATGGTTACTGATGACGATGAGCTGATCAGAAAATGGAAGGTTCTGAGTCATTGTCCCCTTTGTTCCCAGCGCATGCTGCGTCCAAGAAGAACTGCGCAGTTGTAGCTTCACCATTGACAAGACAGTAATTCAATCAAGCAGTTGTAAGAGATACCAGAGAAAAAGCTGTGGGCAGGTCAGAAGTTCAGCAGAGCCCAATGAAATATATTAGAGCGTCAGGAAGTAAAGGCTTTTCTGCATCCCTGAATGCTTCG